TGCCATCTTGCGCTCTAATATAAGCACAGTATTGCTTTTTCAGTCGCGTGGAACTGTAGACCAACTGCCCTGGATCGGGACTCTCTCTCGAATTGTCATGAGTGGAGGCACTTACATCAGCAGTGGTTATGAGTAAGCAACACCAGGGTCGCACCTTTACATCTTCACTTGACTGTAACGGAGTAGAACTTGTCACGTGTAGATTATTTGGACTTACAACGAATCTGCTGCGTCCTTAAAACACGCATTGTAGACATTATACCGTGCTTGTAAGATACCTCTTTTGGGAGGATACAGAGGAAGGTTTCCCAAAATAGGATAGTCGGGTGAATGGGGACACAACCGTCGGTCTCACCTGCACAATTAATCAATGGGTACACCACCGTGGGTCTCACCTGCACACTGAATCAATGAGGACACCACCGTGGGTCCCACCTGCACACTGACTCAATGGGGGCACCACTGTGGGTCTCACCTGCACATTGGATCAATGGTGATATCACCGTGGATCTCACCTGCACACTGCGTCAATGGTGACATCACGGTGGGTCTCACCTGCACAGTGAATCAATGAGGACATCACCGTGGGTCTCACCTGCACATTGAATCAATGGAGACACCACCATGGGTCTCACCTGCACACTGAATCAATGGAGACACCACCGTGGGTCTCACCTGCACACTGAATCAATGGTGACACCACGGTGGGTCTCACCTGCACACTGAATCAATGGGGACACCACCGTGGGTCTCACCTGCACATTGAATCAATGGAGACATTACCGTGGGTCTCACATGCACACTGAATCAATGGTGACACCACGGTGGGTCTCACCTGCACACTGAATCAATGAGGACACCACCGTGGGTCTCACCTGCACACTGAATCAATGGGGACACCACTGTGGGTCTCACCTGCACACTGAATCAATGTAGACACCACTGTGGGTCTCACCTGCACACTGAATAAATGGAGACACCACTGTGGGTCTCACCTGCACACTGAATCAATGGTGACAGCACGGTGGGTCTCACCTACACACTGAATCAATGAGGACACCACCGTGGGTCTCACCTGCACATTGAATCAATGAGGACACCACGGTGGGTCTCACCTGCACACTGAATCAATGGTGACAGCACGGTGGGTCTCACCTGCACACTGAATCAATGGAGACACCACTGTGGGTCTCACCTACACACTGAATCAATGAGGACGCCAACGTGGGTCTCACCTGCTCACTGAATCAATTGGGACGCCACCATGGGTCTCACCTGCACACTGAATCAATGGGGATACCACGGTGGGTCTCACCTGCACACTGAATCAATGGAGACACCATCGTGGGTCTCACCTGCACACTGAATCAATTGGGACGCCACCATGGGTCTCACCTGCACACTGAATCAATGGGGATACCACGGTGGGTCTCACCTGCACACTGAATCAATGGAGACACCATCGTGGGTCTCACCTGCACACTGAATCAATGGGGACACCACTGTGGGTCTCACCTGCACACTGAATCAATGGGGACACCACTGTGGGTCTCACCTGCACACTGAATCAATGGTGACACCACGGTGGGTCTCACCTGCACACTGAATCAATGGGGACACCACTGTGGGTCTCACCTGCACAGTGAATCAATGGGGACACCACCGTGGGTATCACCTGCACACTGAATCAATGGAGACACCACCGTGGGTCTCACCTGCACACTGAATCAATGGAGACACCACCGTGGGTCTCACCTGCACACTGAATTAATGGAGACACCAACGTGGGTCTCACCTGCACACTGAATCAATGGGGACACCACTGTGGGTCTCACCTGCACACTGAATCAATGGGGACACCACCGTGGGTCTCACCTGCACACTGAATCAATGGGGACACCACCAGGGGTCTCACCTGCACACTGAATCAATGGGGCACCACCGTGGGTCTCACCTGCACACTGAATCAATGGGGACACCACTGTGGGTCTCACCTGCACACTGAATCAATGGTGATGCCACGGTGGGTCTCACCTGCACACTGAATCAATGGGGACACCATCGTGGGTCTCACCTGCACACTGAATAAATGGAGACACCACTGTGGGTCTCACCTGCACACTGAATCAATGAGGACGCCACCGTGGGTCTCACCTGCACACTGAATCAACAGAGACACCACGGTGGGTCTAACCTGCACACTGAATCAATGGTGATACCACGGTGGGTCTCACCTGCACACTGAATCAATGGTGATACCACCGTGGGTCTCACCTGCACACTGAATCAATGGGGACACCACCGTGGGTCTCACCTGCACACTGAATCAATGGAGACACCACTGTGGGTCTCACCTGCACACTGAATCAATGAGGACACCACCGTGGGTCTCACCTGCACACTGAATCAATGAGGACGCCACCGTGGGTCTCACCTGCACACTGCGTCAATCTGCTAGCGGTAAGCGTAGATGATATCAGTCAGCCCCATTCATGGCAAGCTGCTTGTGAAACGCGCTGTGTAGAAATTCGAGATGTTTGTTTGATCTTTATTGGGCTCCGATTAGCGCGGTTGGCTACATGCTGTGCGAAAGAAGTTCAACATATGTACATACGTAACAATAGATTGCTCTGCAAACGCAGTGTTTGTGTCTATGATTAAAGAGGAAATATGACGATACTTTCCTCTTTTTTAGTGATTACGAAGGTAATAAATAGGCCGAGGGCGATGCCAACGTGACATACGGATCCCGCTATCGGCACCACGATGCGCGGCACTGCTCTGCACGGTGCCGATAGTCAATTCGCTTCTCAACTGGGCTTGTAGACTAAGCCTCGCATGGCCTTCAACCATCTTTTGTTTTAATATTTTGACACTTTTTTCCTTCCCTTGTACAATATAGTTGCGCATTCAGGTCACATGCAGTGTTGTTCGTATTCTGCAAACACGACTGTGCATTCCGTGTTACCTCGATGGCATAACCCATTTCAGCACCGTAGTGTGGGTAAAATGGTTATTGAACGGTTTGGAATAAAACAATTTGTTTGCCCACTTAATTGCAAAAAATATATACTTTGCAATTGTCTTCTAATAGTACAACAATCCTCTTCAGTTCCATGAGCAATGTCAAAGAGATTGGGGTTCTGTGGTGACCTACAGGATCGTCTGAACCTTCCACATCCTGTTATATCCATCAGGATGACGACCGCTTGTGTTGCGATCGAAACATCGTGGATTTTTTGTTTTTATTTCCTATTTACGTGACTTTACTGAAAGAACCAAAGAATATGATTTCCTGCAGTCAAGATAGTTAAGTCAAAAGTAATTATATTCTTGGTTCTTTCGATAAAGTCACGTAGAAGGGAAACAATAAAATATATTTTTATGATTTTATTGTTTCCCTTCTACGTGACTTTATTGTTTCCCTTCTACGTGACTTTACCGAAAGAACCAAAAAATATGAATTCCTGCAGTCAAGAAAGTTTTAAATCAAAATTAATTATAAGAATAGGTTTTTTCCCTTTTTTCTGGCAACAAAACTGAAACCTTATGTTGCCAGAAAAAAGGGGAAAACAGGGGGAAAACCTGTTCTTGTATTTTGGTACTGGCAAAGGAAGTATCATGGATGATGATCAAAAGTAATTACTTATTTACCCAGGAAACTGTTTCAGGAGGGTCCAGTATGGAGGGTTTTTTCTTCAGATGTTTTCAGACCATTCGGTTGACTATTTTTACATTGATCATTATTTCATCATTGTGGCATGGGTGTATGTGTAGCGTACTAAATTCAGAGACACTAGTAGGAGGCGTTATCCCTCTTGAGTATTCTGGCTCTCACAGCCATAGGGGATAACTCCATACCAGGTCGGGACAGCCAACACGCTTCCAGACCCACAGCTTGAAGAGGCGAAGATCACAACGACGGCAGCACGACGAGTTCCACTCCCGACGGCAGCAGCCCCGACTGTGAGTCGGAACGCGCCTTTTATTCTCCGCAGCGTGGCCAGGCTCCGCCCTCGGCCACGCCCCCTTCTGGATCCCCCAGAATGCTACGGGCTTGGCCCACAGGTCCAACTGGTAGAGCGGGCTGCTACCCCCAATCCCATTGTCTACCAATCTCCCAGCAACACGCGCTACAGTGACTCATTCAATGTCACTCCATTATGCATCATTTGTGTACTGACAATTGACTAATGGACAAACTGCCATCCTATGTCCCTTGGCATTGCAGCCGAGTTTTAGTTTGGTGGTTCGGGTGCGTCATCCCCAAATCCCACCATCCAAGTTTGATTCTCAGCCAGGACTACTATCTGAACCGTTACTGAACCCTTCACGAGGTTAATTGAACTTTACATGAGTGCCTGGCGTGGTGTGTAAACATCAGTGCCCGGGAGACAAAGGTGGCCAGCCGTACTGTTTGCCACACCTCCGCCTCGTGCGCCATGCTGGCCTTCATAGCACTTGCCCCAAGACTCTGTTGTAGGCTACACAGGTGTTCTTTGCATGTGCGCATCCTGCAGTTGGGTGCAGAGAAACTAATGGAAATAAACGGACATCCTATAGTTATCTGCACTGAGGGTGTTTATTGTTTTAATCTCCGAGGAATGCGACAAATGTGTAATTATCGTTATGATTATCGTTCATGTGCAGAGGGACTGTCTGATGCATGAGCTGTAATCTGGCCCATTGATGTGTTTTCTCCATTTCCACAGGGATCATGCAGTGGCAACGCATGCTGGGAAAAAAAAGTTGGCATGAAAACTAAAACATCTCAGTGGCTATAGTCTGCCAAAATATAAATAACTTACAAAATATACAAAAAATAATAACAACAAATATCTCACGAACTAAGTCACCACAGTAAGGTTTATCTTCCTGATATACAACTTGTATTTGGTACATTTAGAATATTTTACACAAATAAATTGTTCCTTGGGTGAATATCTTGTAACGCATGCTGTGTAATGTTTGAATACAAAAAAATGCGACCTCACAACATGCCATGTACAATAATAATTTATTAATATAGACATTTTTCTATAATCAGGCAAAAGATGTATAGTCATGCAACATCTGTATGCAAGAGCAGAAAATATATTTCCTTTATTAGAGCGATAAGGTACGGCTTGAAGACCCATCCTTTTAAAATATATAATATCCTCTTGACCATTTATACTATCTTAGTCAATATAAAATTGTTCGATTAGAAGACAAAAAAAGGTTTCACTTAAAACAAAAGACAGCTTTTTTGTATGGAAATCTACTTAAGTATGCAGTACAAATGTAAGTGTCAGGCGTGCACACTCTTATGTGTGCATTGATATCAGTTACGCGATGCTCTTGCACACTCGACACTGTAATCGTGATCCGGCACGAATTTAAATGTAAAGGATATTGAAAGTCTCGCGGAACATATTGTACACTTATACACAATTGTAACACGCACTCATCATGGGAGAGAGAAAGCTAAAATTATCTTTGGGCACACAAACTCTTGCTTGGTGTAACGCACTACGTAGAGAGTTTTCATACGAACATTATACTAATCAATGTTGAACAATGTGTATACATTCCAAACCAACGTGGCATATTCCCAGGATCAGACCATACATACTGAAGCAAGATGCTAATTTTGCCCGCGAAAACCTCTGCCAATAGGCACAAACTTGATTAGAAGATTAAATTGATTTGCTTAACGTTTTTTTTATATATTTGCGTAGAAAAACACGTTAGGCATTTCGCAATTGTCCTATTATAAATCCAATATTAAATGTTCCTACTTTGAGAATGTTTTATTTATTCATTGTTACATACGAAATTGTGTGCACAAAAAAATGAAAAATATTTGATGAACAACACATGTTATTATTTATATTTGTTATAGCTCTTTATACTATCAACACTTCTCCTTCAAAACAACCATGAAACAAAGCAGGGAGAGCAACACGTGTTTTACAAAATTATAATCTGATACAAAATAAACTACATTAAGATTACATTCAAGCCGGCACATACTCTGTACAATGTAATAAGTAAAACAAAACAAAAACTGAATTTAAATGCTTCAAAGAGCAAGACGAGCGGCTTCCTACGATCAAGTTACTGATAAGTTTAAATGCAAAGCCAATCAGGAGTGGATCAAAGGCTGCGAGTCTTGTTTAAACACCCTACCCTTCCTGACGGAATAATTTTCAATCGATTAATCTTTGATTTCGCATATATTCAACAAACAAAAAAAACACTTTCTGAGGACAGGATACTTTTTGGTCTAAAACTTGACAATTTGTGTCGAGTCCGTTCATATTCTGTGCTCTACTCTATATGCTTTCCAGCCCACGGTAATGTAATTACAACCCCTGCCATCTCAAGAGTACGCGATAACAAACGTTCAGACTTATTTGCTGAGACTTGCTCAATTCAAGCTTTCAAAATTTGCTTACATGGCAATGCCGGTGTGATACACAATAGGAGTCCATTACATTCCCCGTGTCTAAAATTCGCCCGCGTCAATCCTGTAATTCCGTTACTTCGAAATGGCCCATGTGGATAACGTGGGTGTGTGAATGAACGAGTACCTGGTGCTGTGTGTAAACATCAGCACTGGGATAGTTAAGAGCTATGCGGGATGATCTCTGCCTTTGTATTGTGCTAAGAGTCAAATGAATGCAGTTATATTGTGTTCTGTGATCATTGAGCCGAGCTGTGTCTAGCTGAATGTAAGCAGAGCAGGTGATTGTTGCAATTATCAGCTATTGTACACTATTGTTTGCATCACGTTGCGGTGTTTGTTTTTACTTGCGTTAGATATGAGAAGGATGGCTATCGAACAAATCCTCTCAACGGTACACTTCCACAAGCTTCGTATTCAAAGTAGTCAAACCTGCAGCACCATCAGAACCTTTTACAACTTTGCGCTAATTTCTCTGTCAATCGTAAATATCTGGGGATAGCCAATGCATGGGTTTTTGTTTTATTATCATCAAGGCTCATCACAGATCACATTCAGCCTGTGATGATGCCATGCACAGCCAGAGGGGACAAGTCTCTCTTTTTATCCCCCATCTGTTTGAAGTAAGTGATTCCGTCCAACATGTTTTGGCTCAATCGAACATCTGGGACAGTAAAGAGCTGGTGGAGTGACCGTTTATGACTTCCTTTTGAAGAATGAATCCGTTTTATGAGTAGAGAGGTTCCTGTTGTAAACACCATGTAGGGAATGTCTCTCCCCCCCTCCCTCAAATGTGTTCCCTCTAAGGAACCAAGACTTGGGCATATCAATTCCACTCATCGATATATGTAACCCGTACTTGTTTTCTGTTGAAGCAAAAGGTGCCTTTAAGCCCGGGTTATAATTGTTCACCAAATAATTGTCATTGGTGGAACGAATATGCAGGAGAACCAATGTTTGTTATTTGTCAACACTAGCATTTTCTCAGAGAACCTAACCAGTTTATACATTTACAGCCCAGGCCTATTTTGTTAACAATCTGACAGAAAATGTAACAGTTACACCCTCAATAATTGGCCAGTTGTGTTACTTTAAAAAACATGATTTTGGCAAGCTAATTATGAATTCTGGATAGACAAACTAAGTTTTTGGCAAACATCGCAATGGACATGGCATGGTGTGATGGTTACAGTATAATGATGGAAACCAATTAGAGTAGTATCACCAGCACCATTGACATTGACACGTGGCTAAAGCGCTTTTACTTATTAATCTTAGTTGGTTATCATTTCTTACTTGTTCGTTTTTGCATTATTATCGTTACATCAGTCTTAGTGACACCGTAGTCTCATGGACGTATATATTCATATAGTTTAAAACGGCATTCCTTTTTACCAATATTAGAATGCGGATCGCCAGTCAAAAAGCAGTTGTGAATAGATCAGCCACCAACCCTTCAGGTGAACTGCAGTGAATGGCACTCTTCTATTTGTTGCACCGCAAAGCTCCCAATGCGCCTGAGACGAGACACGCGCCGCATCTCTGGCGCCTCCTCCCCCCAAAAGAGCCGAGGCACGAGCAACAGAGCCACACGTGCAACCAGAGAAGCCAATTTATCGAGCTTAAAGGGGGGGAGAGGGGGGGGGGGGGCAAAAAACTAAACTGTGAAAGGAGAGCGCCGAAACAGCCAATTTCCTTCCAGCCCCCCCGGCTGCCGTCGCTTTGCCCTCGACCGTCTCGACTGCTCGCGTTCGGCAAAGTGGCGCGTCAACGCTCGCGCGGCACCCTCCTCCAGCGACGCGACGGTGGGGGGGCGGGGGGGGGGTCCCGACGTCAATCCGGCGACGGCGTTCCTCCAGCTCAGCACCCGGGCGGCACGACGGTGGGAAGAGAGGCGGCCCAGCGCAGGCGTTGGCCGCCCGCCCGCCCGCCCGCCCGCCCTTTTACCACCAGACGCCGGGGATGGGCACCCCGCACTCGTACCAGGCCACGTAATAGTTGCCGCTGCCCCCGTACTGGTAAACGCCGCCGCCGATCGAGCCAAAGTTCAGCGGTTCCTGACGGTATCGCCGGTAGAAACCTGTGGTGAGCGCAGAGAGCAGCGCAGATATCAGATGTGGCGCCGTACATATGGGTGTGTACGTGTGCTGAACTTCTTTCGCACCATACGTAGCCAACCACGCGAGTCGGAGGTGCGGGGGAAGGACGACAAAGGAAACACAAAAAGCAGTTTTAAATAAATTAGTTTTCAAACTAGATTAAAAAATGCATCGTTCTAGTGGCTTTCTAATTTCGGAAGAGCGTTCCAGACGGCCACAGATCTGAACACGCCCAGTGCTGTCACCGTCTTTGTTCGATGACTCGCTAAAAGCTGCTGCGAGGATGACCGGAGTTCACGTGATAGTTGATGCTCCTGGCTAAGGGGTCAGGGGTCAGAGCACTTATGTCTGCCATGCACCGCATTTACATACAACAGGGCACGTGAGATAGTGCAGCACAAGATGCCATTTCAAGGGATTTCAGAAGTAGTTCTGTAATATGTCATTCTGTGGGACAGATGAGGCACTCTTCACTGAATGGACACTTGGGACCCAGTTCATGTAACGTTTGTTCTGACACTTTTGTAAAATTTCCGGTATTAGCCAGCCGATTTTGCAGAAACAATTCGACCCACTGTGGGCCATTTCAAAATCGTAGAATGGATCGTGGTGGAATGGGTGAATGTTTTGTATGGAATCGGGAAAATTGACCGTTTTGCTGTTTTTCCATCGTTCTGCAATAATAGAGTTGTGGGATGAAGCTGAAAATAGCTACAGCCATTAGTCTCCTAGTATGAGACTGACGGTGTGATTGGAATAGACTCGGAGGAAAAAAAAACCCATTTATTCGATAAACAAACCCTGCGCTTATTTAATATGTTGTCGCGTGTCACCATCGAGGGAATTTTTCTGGTTAGATTTTTTTCGTGTGGAAAAATATACTTAAATGTCTATTGGGCAGCATGTGTCTCTGATTTATGCCATAAACCTGTGGTGGAAAATTCCTTGTTCACATAGCAGGGGCATCCTGTACATAGGACAACCACTGCTTCACTTCAAAGCTTAGACAAATTAAATGTACATCTCCTAGTCAAAAAAAAACCTTATGTGCAACCAGAAAACTCGGCTTAAGGAACATATCCTTTTAATAACATTTAGCCCAGAGATATGTGAGAAGAGTGTTTAATACATTGTGTAAGTTAATTTTCTGATTTGATTTCGGACAAAAATCACGTATTACATATGAAAAGACGTTATAAATTGCAGCCCCTGTGATTCCACTGCTGGATGAAGGGTCCCCCAGACTCTCCGCTGTCGGGGTTGTCTGACCGTACTTCACCACGTTGGTCAGTGCAGGTTGCTTCGGGAGCGAGGGGACCCAGGACCGGTTCGGATATTCACTCCACCACTGACGTTAGCCGTAGGCCTGATATTAAACCCGGGGTCGCCAGGTTCACAACAGAGTGCACTGCCAATTGTGGCCGCTCTCCAACCCAATCATTGTGTATATATAGTCGGAGCCAGATGTCAGCACACCCCTTTGAGAGCAAGGCCAACAGTGCTCATATCTCCAGTATACTCGTGTCACTACTTGCCCTTTGTCTTCACCCCACCAGCATAATGTAAGCCTGCGCTGCTTATATGAGTACTGTGCTTATAGAAGGCGTACTCATATCCAGATTCCATTGTGTGTGTGTGTGTGCGTGCGCGCGTTTATATAGCGGTAGTGCAGCGGTGAGTGCGGCACGCTATTAACCTGGCGACCCGAGTTCGATTCCCGCTCACGTGCCAACACCAGTGACGATGATTATCTGAACCCCCTAGGTCGACTAAGCCTTAAACGAGTACCTGGTGCGGTGTGTAAAAATCGCCACTGGGGAGACAAAAGGCGGCGGGGCGTGGTGCTGGCCACCCACCCCCTCGTGCGTCGTGTCGACTTTCATAGGTGCTCACTAACAGCACTTGCCCCAACAGTCTACTTAGCCTATACGGGGGGGATCTTTGTCTTTGTTATGTAGTAGTATGCTATTAATATGCAGAATGCGTCTCTGTTCGGAGCCAGTGACTCTTCGCATCCCTTGCTCCTCCACCTGCCCAGCTGACACCGGGGTTGGTCGATCCAGAGTCAAGGGGGGGCCGTGGTTTAAGTGCACCGGTCATGGCGGAGCAGTTGACCATACTTCACCACTTTGGTCAGTGTGGGTTGGTAAAGGGAACATGCCATCTCGTCTCACTGACTGCCTGACTGGTAATAGTTTCCCTCATCCAATATGGCTGCTCAGCACTTCAACGCCTTTCACGGATCGACGATGATGGCGATAATGGTGGAGACGAACAAATGCATTGATCTCTGTGTAGCAAGACCTTGTGTGATGGGCAGTTGGTTTTCATCCAGCCGAGGTCCTGTCCGCCCATCCAGGAATGAATCGACAAACTCGCAGTGGTCTTCCGCGTGCCCATATCCATCACCGACATTGTAAAAGAGACCTGCCCACATACACACGCACACACACACGCACGAACACGCACGGACATCTATCAGAAACCAGAAGACGTGTGATAATCTATGCGCACCGTGGCTGTGCGCAAAGAAGCCGCGGAGACGACCGATCGCTCGGAATTGCATCGAGAGAGGCGGTACGAGGAGCACTTGTGGATCGGAGAATGTACTGTCTGCAATTCGGAGGCATCCGTTTGACTGTGAAGAAAAAGTACGTCGGCTCGAACAGGGCACGTCGCCTGAAAGAGATGCTTTTACGCAGTACGTTCAGCTTCTTTCGCACCATACGTAGCCAGCCGTGCAAATCGGCGGTGCGGAATCGGAGACCTCACACCCACGTGACTTAGCCAGAGCCATGCCGTGGGGTACGGTGAATCGGGGCGACCGCCCGGGCCCCGTGCTTTGGGGGGCGCGGTGGTGTCGGGTGTAATACTCCCGCCAATAGCGGGTGGTCAAGACTGATGATGGAATGCCAGCCATGGGAGAGAAAGCAGGGACCGTGAGATGAAATCAGATCGTGTGCAGGTGCTTAGTGGGTTTGCTGCTTCGCGGGAAAATGAGAGACATGGCAAAAACGTGGGGAGGCCTTCATCCAACAGTGGATTGATCATGGCTGATGATATCGATGCGTTGGATGTGATGGATATCTGTAATCCAGTGGCTGCATGGCAGAGTTAGCGGATTACATGCACAAAGAGGAGGCCTGTGTGCGATACATCCACCGGCAGAAGCCAGAACAGCAAGGACATTGCTGGACTAAGGACTCGTTGGGTGGCACCAAAGTGTTACTTTGTCATACGTGTGGATTGTCCCCAGGCGCTTGTAGCCATCCTTGTGCTGATGCAGACATTTCACTGCCCTTTAACCTGCACTTGTTTGTGATACACATCACACGTTTGCTACAATCTCCAGCCCACCGTTGTTATTGCGAGCTAATTCATCCCACGTTCCACGCAGAAACTGGCCACTGTAAGAGCCTGACTGCTAGAATAATTGTTTCCTGAGCTGGTGCTGATGCTGGGATAAGCCTAATTCTGCTTGGCATCTCCAGTTTTACACGGCGTGAGGATACCAAGTAGTTTTGTTTGACGCCTATTGACTTCCCAAACAAATAATGATGTAGTTTATTTACTTGTCGAGACACAGAACAGAGTTCTCCTTCTGGTTTAATTTTTACCAATAATGCTCCACAACAACGCATTATGAGCTGCGTGTATGCGCCGTTGCATTTGGTGTTGAAGAGGACCCCATGGTGGAGATGGAGTGCTCTTGCTAATACTATCTGTATACCCAGCTGCACTTGTTGTTAATGGGCCAGACCCAGATCATCGAAACCGGTTCAAAGTTTGTTTTCTTGAACAAATGCAGCTGGATATGAACAAATATTTGACTGATGTGGAGCCAGGATTGTTTGGAAACAGTTGATGCGCTTTAAAAGCGGCAATGACACGGATCACAAGTAAACTCCTAATCAAAATGCTCATGGGCTGGGGTTAGTTGATCGCTACAGGATGTGAGAATTGTCTCGATATACTAGCGTCCGATAGCAGAAGAAACACTAAGGCACGCTAGAAATAAAACGGAGCTGTACCAAACACCGAGGACTATGTAATGCAATCCCCGTTTAAGAAAAAAATAACAATTTTAAAGTCTTGCAAATTGCAGTTATTTTGCAGCAGTTATTTGGACAGAGTATACAATTTCACTTGACGGTGGTAGAAAATAAACCCGCGATAAATCGAAAATAATTGCTGTGCATTTTCCATGTAGTTCTGAGCTGACAGTACATTAGTCTGTTCCACTTAAAGACTGAGGCAATGAAGATATGAGCGGGCATCTGCGCGGAGTGTCCTCCTCCATCCCGCGGGACTTCCAATCCAATCAAACGTCCAGCAATCCGGAGGCTTAATGTCAGGCCTCGATGACAGCGCGTTAGATCTGTTCATAGAGCCCCGTGTAATCGACCGGCCACGTGTGCACCACGATTGGCCGCATGCCGCGAGTGGCAAAACAGATCCACAACTAGAAAAATAAATAGCCTCGACGAATGCACAATAATGTTTCAAATGAAAAATTCCGGGCAGTGGATTACATTTTAACTTAAAACTTTCGTGACTGCAGGAATTCATATTCTTTGGTTCTTTCGGTAAAGTCACGTAGATAGAATTTTTTTTAAAATTTTAAAAAACAGTGGAATACAATGCATGTTTTAGCCAGCAATGCCAAGTTAGCTGGAGGACAGCATAACAATGCTTCGTCTCTATTCGCATTGTTATGCAAATCGTGATGTCGCTGTCATAGCTGGAGACGAGCAGAGGTTGCATCGCGCTGTATAAGAAACCGAGCCCCCCAGATGGATTGGGTCGCGGACTTCAGAGGGAAATGTACGTTGCACGGTTTCACGGCAGTCATACCAATAGTTGAAATTCTCAAAACTAAATATTGACAAATTAAGCGTGTAAAAACTCATGGAGAGTGATATTTTTTTCTAAAGAATAAGATGGATAAACAGTTTTAACACGAAAATTACATTTGCAGTAACTTTAATTCATTTATGTTTTTGCTTCTGGGAATAAAATAACCTCCACTAGCAATGGGTGACCCAAAGTCTTTAAAAGTCCACTTTACAGCGATGTTGCGGTACAGTAATAATTATTACTTCGCACAGAGGGGGTGTTTGCAGCAATTTAAATGTCAACCGTGGTGCAAGCCAGTCGCATGATCGTCTAGGCACCTACAGGCACATTAGACACGAGATGCCCTTTGCAGTTTCCAAATCTCTCCCTGGCCCTGCAGAAACCTATCTCACTGACCTAATCTCCCCTCTCTCGACCATAACCATCTCGATCCTACAGAGACCTCTGCTTTACCCTTTACCCCCTTAATCCATCTCCGCACAATCGGGGAGACGGTTACAGGGGGGCATTTCCAGCCCACCCCGTGCCTTTCCCCACCGCTTGGATCGGAGTCCCCTTCGGTGCGCTGTGCTGACTCAATCTCATTTTTCAAATTCAGATTTCACAGCAAGCAACCTCCAAATGCCGGTGACTAATAACTCAGTTTTTTGGCATTATTTCTGTCCAACATTTTATCCCATTTTCAGCTCGGCCAGGTGATTGATTGTGTTTCCATGTAATTAATAGCGTAGAATTATACATATAAATAGTTCTACTGTATGTATAAATGTTATTGTATTGCGGTATATTGAATGTGTTTCTTGCAATGTGTCGAGCTGCGTAGGGGTTTTCTGACTTAAATTTGCACGAGGATGGACGCGCAGCGTTTTCATCGTTTCACATTGCACCGCATTGCATTGCATTGTTTAAGTTCTCTATCTGTGTATGGAATTGCATGAACCATGTTGCATTGCATGCGTGACAGTAACAATAATAACGTCATGTACTCACGCCTTTGTCAGTACACTGTTGGGTGGAGGCCTCCCCTTGCCGTACTGGACATAGATCACCCTGCTGGTCAGCATGGGTTGGTGAATGGGATGCCCATGGTCGGTTCAGATATCACTCGCTGCCGATGTTAGACGTGACCGGGAATGAAACTGGGATCGCAGTGCAATACCAGGACACGTGACGTGTAAATCAATTTCAAGGGTTCCCTTCGAAGTGAACGTTACAGTTGCCGTGAGACCCAGGACTGTGTCACATATCACTCGCCACGGGTGACAGTCGTGGCTAGGATTTGAACTCACGTGGGCAGGTAGCCACAAGAAGCAAATAGCTCATTGGGCCTCACCTGGTAAGACAAAACATGGTTTAGTTTAATTCGCATGTATTTTTTTTGTTATTTGTTTAGCTCTCTCCTGTACTGTGCACTCCTATCGCGTTTGTGTTTGGTGTTGGAACGTTCTGGGCATCTTTGGGAAAAAAAAAACATCTTTATAGCTCATCGGATTCTTCCTCCAGTATAAATACATATTCTGATTCTGAGTACGCTGACCACCGTGCCACCACTCCCTCCCCTCCCCCCGAACTCGAATGTTACATGGCGGATTGCGTCTCGGAGGAAGGTGTCACAAGCTGCGTCGGCAACGAGAGTGTGCCCGGCGTGCGCCTTGCCTCCAAGTGAGTTGCTGATGTAGATCTTGTAGCGGAGAGAGTTGCATAGAACGACGCCCACGAACTTTCGGTACCACGTACGCTTGACGAACTGCTTCCCCCGGCACTCGGTGTGCGAGTCGTCGTAGCGGAAGGGAAACTGCGTCCAGATCGGCTCCGTGCCTGCGCGTGGATAACCCAGCGCCATTAGATCGACGCAAACGTCAATAGTGCACACGCACACACACGCGGACAAAGAGACAACGGTAGACTGACTCGCGCGGGCTGTTGGGGGCAAGTGCTGTTGCGAGCGGGCACACGCTCTCGCCCGCGGCTAAGCTCAAACCATCGTAGAAGTTGGAGGTAAAGGTGCAGCCCTGCATTTACTTGCTCATGCTACTGCTGGCGGATGAGGGTATATGGCCCGCTCTTCCGTGTTGGTCAATAGAATTGGAAGAGGTAACCCCCCACGCTTCACCGCACCATACATGGCCTGCCAATCGATTGTGGTGAACCCATTTACACCGGTGGGTATAAGAAACCTCCTCCGTGGTTGCAACTGCCGTGTATGGAGAGGGTACCGAACTGGAGACCTCCAGACCGCAAGTCCCGTTGCGCTGACCGTAACACCACGGTCAGCGGCATCCTTTAACCAGTCACGCAGGGAGTTGTTTTCTTTCGGCTGAGAAATCTTCCGTTTGGACTACTAAATTCCTCAGCGGAAGATACTTCTGATGGATCTTTAACAAACAAAAAAAAGTTGTTAATTGTTCACGAACGTCTGAAAACCGACACGGTCGTCGCTTTCTTGTGAGGTTGCTATTTATATTTACACTTGTTTAATTTGAGCAAAATCCTCAAGAGAATGGCAGCGAAATGATTCCTGTCCTCGCGCAGCACATTTCATCGCGCTAACCCCATACACTGTCGGACGGGGCGCTCAGAGGAGGCTCAGATGGAAGTCTGCGCTAAAATTATCCAACACTCGGCTGGAAAATAGCGGCATTAAAAAGAAGAGGCAGGGCTATGGTTTTGTAAAGGTGCCATGAAACCCCTTTCAAGAATCAAACGAACCAGTCGTGCAATGCGTGCTCCAGATCCCCCCCCCCCCCACCACCAACCCCCCGTGAAAGGCATCGCTTGTTTATCACGGACATTTTTCAATTTAGCACTGGCTGAGACGCTACAGAGCGACTGCTTCCCCCCCTCCCGCACCCAAAGATGTTTTTCACACGAGAAGCGTCTGAGCTTTACCACCCGCCCCCCCCCCTCTCTCTTCGGTTTAACTTATCTGGTTTGTTTGGCAATTTCTGGAGAATTATGAGAGCAGGGAGGTCTGGTTTCCAGATAAGTATGGAGTAGACTTTTACGGCACAACACTGGGTCTCATTTAGTAAGAATTGTGAGCAGGCGGCACCCACCCTGACTTTTAATCCCCTCGTGATATTACATTTTTTCTGTGCGAGGGGAAGTGAGGGCGGGAGGGTCTGTAACGGAGTGAGTTATCTCGAACGGATGAAATGCCTTGAACAAATTTTTTTTTCTGTACTCACCAGATGACCGATCAAATATCACCGAGTTTTCTGCAACACAAATGTGAAAAAAATAACAAGTGCGTCAGTTCTCACGAAGGGAATCTGCAGACATAAGGGTTGCATTCAAACGAAAAATAATGAAACAAAAGAAGCGATGGAAACGCGCCACCCCCCCCTGCCCTACCACCACCCCACATAGCGGTGCTTATTCCACTCCGAGGCCGAACGAGTGAACACCTAACGGCTGTATAAAGGATTTATGGTTAGGTGGGCCCTGTTTAAATATCCCCATTGCTAAAATGTGACAGTAAATTCAATGGTCTTGCAAGAGAATGCCACAAAGTGAGTCCGTGGTCACATGTGCTTGGGTTTTAGGGTTATACAAGCTGAGCAGGACAGTCGAATAACAGGGCAGTCAAATAAGTGAGATTATGAATAGCCATGCCTTGCTCAGTTCCCCGAGCGTGTGCATTACAGGCATTCATGAGTTTGCAATTGCAAATGCCTTGTATCGTTGTTCAAAAGGTGTTAAAAGTTTTTTGAGGATAACCAAAAATTGTATTTATCTCATAAGCCTCACTGAGTGTCAAGACCTATTTTCAGAACGGCCCTGCATCTGTAGGTAAAATGATCAAAGGGGCAGCCCTGCAATTGCTTGCTCACCACCACTACTGGCAGAAGTGACTCCATTAAAGGAAGTTCTCGAGAGCCGCGATTGAGGGTGGTTTTTTTTGGCCCACCCTTCCCGGCTGGCCAAATGTGTTGGAAGAGGTGAGAGTACCCACACCTTACCCCACCCTCATGTGACCTGTCGATCGACGAGTCGTGACCAAGCTGATTACACTGCTGGGTGGATAGAGGTGGTGCGGGATGGGGGGTATAATAAACTTGCCCCATTGATCTAGAGACACCAATCTTTACGTACAAATACATTGTTACTATAAAGGAATACATAAAAAGAAACATTGTTTGAATAAATATCTATCATAAACTCTTTGACTCCCTGGATTGACTTGTCCTGAACAACGATGAAAATTGCAAATCACAGAATGATGTATGAATCCAATTTAAAATAAACATTTTTTAAATTCCAGTCGTTCTCAGTCCGCCAACGGGCGAGGGCTTTCCCTGGGCAACGTTGGTCTTGGAAGTTGTTTGGTCAGTGCGAGTTGATGAAGGGGTGGGAAGGTTTGGTTCGGGCATCACTCGCCACTGATGTTAACCATGGCTCGGAATCGAACTCCGTTCTCCAGGTTTTAAGTGCATAACAAGAACCACTGCAACTGCAACCACCTCGTTAACAATCTCAACAAGTTGAATTTAAGCCAAGCCATGAGATTCAGGCACGAGTGGCAATCCTTGTTCAGGGACCCCGAGAACAATTCAAGAAATACATTTTTTTATGAAGCCTCAATAGGAAAACCAACAACACATTTCTAAGCGGTATCTGACTTGCCAGACTCTGTAGTGAAAGAAACAGTGTCAGACGGAGGCCCGAGTGTGTCTTCATTCTTTGCCTGCACTTTAAACACATACCTGCAAGAATAAAACACACGAGTGTTAAAATTAAATACTTCATCATGAATATCGAATTATAATTGGATTGTTGGGGTTTAGGCCACGTAATGATCTGGCCAAATGTATTTCGTGAAACCCTCCTCCACCTGACACGGCCAAACAAATCAACGCACCAGTTGTTATTGTTTCAGCTTACCAGGAAGTTAAATCATTATTCTCACGACCAGAATTAGTGCTTACATATGCGACGTTTTGCTTGAAAATTCACCAAGCTTCATCAGAAAATCAGAACAGAACATTCTGATTTGGCCAAGTCCAAAAATCAATTTATGAACCATAACATCGGCTGTGAAAACCCAGGTGTTAAATCATTCATATTACTATTATTATTCTGCAGCTACTTGTTAAACCAATGCTGGATAAAGCCCTCCCCTTGATGTGTCAGTCACACGAGATGTTGTTTGACCATTCTTTACCACGCTGGTCAATGTGGGGTTGGTGAAGGAAAGAGAGAGAGTTTCCCTAGAACCGGTCCTGATATCACTCGCCACTGATGTTATCACTGGCTGGGAAGTGTACTGTACGTCGAACTTCTTTGGCACCGTACGTAGCCAACCACGATAATCAGAAGTGCGGGGGAAGGACAACAAAGGAAACACAAAAAGCAATTCTACGAAAATGAGTTTTCAGTCTAGAATTAAACGTGCGTAGCTCCGGGGGCTTCCTAATATCGGAAGGAAGAGCGTTCCAGACGGCCGCAGAAGCGCAAATTAACTCGGGTGGCAAGGTTCATCGTGCAGGGCACCAACCACTTCGGCTGCAACTCCATCGTGAGCTGGACATTAAGTAGAAATTATACAAGTTGTGTGTTTATCATCTCCTGTCTTGTTGCTACATCGTCTTGTCTCTCGCTGTGGGTTGCATACTGCGCATTTTGAGCGGCAAATGTAATCGTAGCTTTACATCTGGAGACAGGAGTCGGGGGGGGGGGGGGGGTGAGAGAGAGAGGGAAAGAGGAATGCTGATGGTTTAAGCACTGAGGTCATGGGAATTGTGGAATGGATTTCCTCGTAATTATTGGGTGCAGGTTTCTTCGTTTCTTTTCTTCGTTGCATCATTGCGATGTCGTTGAGGTTATTTAAGTACCTTGGCTGTGTCAGAGACATGTAACTACAATGGGTAATTATGCATAATTCAGCCTTCATGATTGAGACCCAAAGTCAAGACAACTGGATCCAAATGGTGCCCTGATAAAGTATCATAAGCAATTGTACTACATTGGAGTTGGAGTAAGAATATTGGATTTCAGATGTGTTTTGAAGAGGGCCTGAGTGAACTATAACACTGTCTGTAAGCGACGAGAAAACCTCTTGTGCCGTGCAGGCTGGAAAGAAGTAGGGAAACATGAACACTAATACAGCCATACTCTCAGCTGTATTGCTGTGGGTGGTTTAGACAAGGCTGAGAGCATAATGTGGTAGTCACATGATATGCACGCCAAGGCATGATGGGAGTCACGTCATCCTGCTGTTAGTTAGTGAGCACACCTTCGCGTTTGTTGTTTCCTCTGGGGCTCATTGATAACTTTGAACCAAAGAATTGTATTTTAACAACAACATTTTAGGTTAAAAAAAACCCCAACTCAATGTATTATAAACATCATCGGGCAATACGTGTATTTTACCACGCAGATTTCACCACGTAGCAATTATATTGAGTGCAATGTTTCTGTCATGTTCTGTTACAGCAGCACTGAGTTATAAACACACACACGTAAACTTATGAAATATAAGAATACATTTGACCCCTTCTGGCAATACAACAGGTGTGAAGATGTTCAAACACCAAAGATACTTTTTTTTTGCAAGGAATCAAGTCTGCATTAACCACACATGCTTGTGGTGAACATGCAAACAAACATACTCTGATAATATATGCAATGTCTTTGAAACTGGTGTAGGCCAAACATGTACTTGGAAAATGTTTCTATGTGGTGTTTGAACATCTTAACACCTGTTTTAATTCCAGAAAGGGTAAAAGCTATTCTTACGTTTCATACGTTGATACTGGCAAAAAGGTATCCCATGATACATATAAACTTGTTCCTGACTGAGCTCCCGTTTTTCTTCAGTGCACGACCCCTATTTACTTATTAATGTTTAGTATAAGCGCAATGCCATAAGCGATGACCTGCCCATGAAACTTGCAAAGGCTATTATTTATTCTCAAACCCCGAATTGCATTGAAAGTCTGCAAACAGACGGCATGCTCTTTTAAAAACAGGCGGCCAAAAAGGCGATGAGGGTTCAAAACTTCAAACCAAATGACCCTTGATCTCCGTGACACCTGTAGACCAGTCTCGTATCATGGTCAGGTTCAAAAGGGGGGGCCATATATAATATCGGGGGGGGGGGGGGGCAGGACATAGTCTGGTGCGCCGTGGTGGCAAGGAGATAGGACATAATATCTCCCTCACCTACTTTGAAGGAGGGCATGGGTTCGATTCTGAGCCCTGATGATGCCTTTATATTTGGAGAGTTCGTGTGTTCTCTCTCTCCATGGCGGTCGAATGGATGCTTCTCAAGATTCCTCCTGGTTTTGCCCCTGACATCCTCCATATTTATAAGGGGGCCCCCCCCCCCTCAACCCTCAAGCCCGCTGCAGCCACAAGGCTTCTATAGTCGGTCGTCACGAGGGGCTTTGTTTGTGCAATGATTCTGCGCTCGTGGCACGGTCTATAAGCTTTGCTGCCCTATTTGCCATTTGTCTTCTTCCAGTGGCTGAAGAAGAGGCAACAGCTTTCTTGAGTTCGTCTCCACTCACATCGTTGTTTGGTTCAAGTCAACATCCCCGCCATGGCTATAGACATAGAGTGTGCGATCTTTTTGGACATTCGGCCGTGAATACAGAAGACTTCACAACAAAGTCATCTGGGAACGCACGCGGTCGTAAGAAGTGACCTGCGCCAAATGTGCCAACACTTCTCTCCAATAATATCGTTTTTTTGTTTGGGTGATAGTACGTCAATATGAATGTGTCGTTAAACCCGCCACCACCCGACAGCCCAAAAAAACCCTATATTGTGGATGATATTGGTGGCGAAAGCGTGTGTCTTAAACTGACTGCTCCCCAACAGGGTAACGTCGGGGGCTCTCCCGCAAACAAACTTGCGAATGCTTAATGGGGGCTTACACTGCACACGATGTCATTCAGCAGAAGAAGTTTAATGTCGTACCTTTATGATCTGTAAAATGCCAGCAATCAAGGTGTGTACTTTAGTCCCTGATACTCTCACCAATATCAGGGACTTGTTCCTCTCAATAGCTCAGGTAATAGCTCGACAGAGATGGATATTCAAATAGATCTCTGCACAGCTTTGAATTTTAATACCCTCATGAGCTTAGGGGCCATCCATTTAGTACGTACGCATGGAGGGGGGAGGGGGGGTTAACCCAAATGCGTTCGCTTGCGTATGGGGGGGGGGGGTCTACTGCCAATGTACGCATAGGAAACGGGGGGCGGGGTGAAGCCTCGATAATAATTTGTCTACATTGGCCTTCAAATGAGTAAGATCGTCGGGCGGTGGACTGTCTGTTTGCTTAAACACGTTAATATTATTAATCCTTCATCGTTTCTGCGTAGATTAAATATCGGCCATTCTATAGGATTGGGGGGGGTGGGTTAAGTGAACGTACGCAGGTAGGGGGGGGGGTAAAAAGTACGCGTGCGTACAGGGAGGGGGGATGGGTCAAGTTTTGACAGATGTTTGCGTACGGACTAAGTGGGTTTACTCCGGGCACACTGGTTTTGTTCTGCATGCCACTCACTTTATATAAAAATGTATCAATGTCCCAGCTTGGACAGACACTCCCGGGCTTGAGAAAGGCTACCCCGTTGTCCCGAAGCATTTGCAACAAAAGTCGGGATTTTGTTTTACATTTTTCTGGCACGTGGCTATTGCAAGGTGCCGGGGCCAGGTGAGTAGTGGGCGGGGTTGGGGGGGGGGGAGTAGGCGGGGCCAGGTGAGTAGTGGGCGGGGTTGGTGAGGGGTGGGCGGGTCCATATGAGTAGTGGGCGGGGTTGGGAGAGTAGAGGTGGGGGGCAGCTGTGAGTGGCACTATAAGTTGCTGCTGAGCCTTACACAAATTTGATAGCCTTACCTAAGCAGGATCCTCCTGACAAACATCTTAACACGTAGGGTTTCCTGGATAATTAGAGGGCATTTATCTCCAGATTTTCATTGCCCTGCTTGACTTTGGAACTTCTATCATTTGTTTTCCCCAAGTTACCACTTTTGTTCAATGCAATCATGTACTAGTTATTTATTACTATCTATAATATTCTTATTTTCCTAGTTGCTGGCCAGTGTGTATTTTAGCCCCTCCGGGCCTGCGATGAAAAAAAAATGTCAATACATTATCTCAATAAATGTTTCTATTACGTATCAATTTCATTGTGCATTTATACATCATTGAGTAGTGCATTTAAAACACACGGCGTTGGGCCTGCGCTACTTTAGAGGTAAACGTAGAAACATGGAAGCACCGGATGCCCTTTAAAGCAAACATTATGCTTGCAATAATTGAGGAAATCGGGAAACAATAACTGAACGGTCGGCGAAATAAAATGTTGCGTCGTACTCGGTTTGTTTTTGCAGGGCTCCATAAAGCGACTGCCCTAGGGCGTCCTCAGTGCTTTTCGCGATTTGCCATTGGCCCCTTCAACTCAGTCGGCGTGGAGTGCGTGCCGCGTGAGCGAGCCGCGCGAAGAGGCGAACTCACTTGGTGTTGGGCTGCAGGTTTTCCACGGGGAAGATCGTGTCGTTGCTCACGTTCGCCAGGAGCCACTTGTTCATCTTAGCGCCTTCCGTCGTCGCGCTGCTCACCACGTATCCTGGGGAGAGGGTCACCAAGTCGGCGTGAGAGAGACGCAGTTTATAAGGGTGACACTTTAAAAAAAATAGCGGCCGCTGATTGCCAGGCCCCAAAAAAAAACCCAAAATGCCAAGCGGCCAGAAAAAATAAACACCAACCTCAGCGCTATTGAAGGTGGAATGGTTTCATCTTCTTTGGTTCTTTGGGTAAAGTCACGTAGAATGAGAATAAACTAATAAATTGATAAAATAACATAACAAAATTATATTCTCACGACGTGGCCGAAACGTCGTGAGAATATTATTGTGTGTGGCCGAAACGTCGTGAGAATATTATTATTATTTTATTCTCATACTACGTGACTTTACCGAAAGAACCAAAGAAGATGAATCCTTGCAGTCACGAAAGCTTTAAATCGGTGGTGGAAGGGTTGTTGGTTTTTTTCATTTGTTGACGCGGATAAGACACATTTAGCCGTGAGGTACTTCAAAGAGGGTTAACATTTTTTTGGGAATTGAGCAAGGCGATGATAACTTGAGAAAAGAGACGATGGCAAGGGATTCCATTGACAAGCAGCGCGAGGGAAAAAACGGAGCGAGATGCGTTGTCACCTGGAGTGTAGTGGCTGAGCACGGCGTGGATGAGACGAAACGGTCTGGTAGATCTCAATATGCGCGGAGGAACGAGCGAGTGAAATGTGGTTTGACAATGCTTCACCATGCTGGTGATAGTGTGGGTTAAAGGTAGTGAGCACAAAACGAGTTCAGACATCACTCACGATTGATGTCGGTGTACAGCTGGGAATTAAACACAGGTTGCCGTGTTTACATTGTGCTAACCACTACAGCGTGTTAACCACCACCATTCTTTCTCATTTGAGTGGCCATAACAAAGTAGTTTTAGTTCAAATTACGGATAGATATCCAACTCCGTCGAAAATAAAATTGAGAAAAATATTTGTATTATTGATAAAACAATAGGTAAAAAATATGAATGTTAGCAATTAGAAGAGTCAACGTTAATAATATTCTGCACTTATAATTTTAATTGTGTATTCGAACAGCATCCTGCACACTTCATCTATACACCCAGGGCATGGAGTCATCCCAGATAAGATGAGATCCCGACGAGATATTGAGAGATGTACACCGACACTTTAAACAAGTCTCTTATTATTTTGATGCCTATACTGCATGTCAATGTTAGCGATGTGATGGCTATCAACATATATTGGCCGTCGTGTAAATTATACCTTTGCAACGAATTGCTTTAATCAAGTGCTCGCAGACCACGCTCGTGAAATCAGTCTGGCCATCAACACGGAACTGGAGGGAACTACAAAGAGACGCGGTGCATCGACCACGACATATTTATTTTATTTTCAAATTTTAAAACCGCGCACAGCTTGCATGCCTTAGAGTCGCTAATGCGAGTGCACTTTTAAAATCAAATTAATGACCTCTGCGCTTGCTTCTTATTTATTTATTTTTCTCCCCACCCCTCTCGCTTCACCTCTACAAGCGCAATTCCGCTCTGACCTTTATTCTTTGAAACACTGCCGACTTCCTCGCATTTGCGCGGCTCGCATGCCGCGGTGGGGGTCATGCGGAATGCCCGCGCGCGGGCGCACTTTCGACTCCGATTCCGGTCTCCGCTCCCGATGTCTGTGCGTGCACCCTGGGTTGTCAATTTCCAGTTGTCGTGAGGCTCACAGAAAATGACAGATTTTTTTCCTTCAGTTTTTCCTTCCCTCTATGCCACGTGCAAATTCAGACTGAATGTTTTGCTGAGCTTTTTTTTTTTTTACAAATGAAGCAGCTGCCAGCGTAAGCCTCGTGTGAAACCCATGCGTGTAATTTATTTACATTTTATATATTTATCTTGCGCGAATCCCCCGAAGGTTATGTCGGCGGAGTGCGTGGAGTCGCGCGGAACGTTTCTTTAAATTAAAAAGGCGGCGATCGGGCCGAGGCTGTGCGTCAAAATCAAGGCGGCCGCCGCGACTGTTTTTGACGAGGCACCTCGTGCGAGCGGAGAGGGCCTCCGGACAGACGCCACGTGAAAGGTGGCAGGGGCAGCGGCGGAGGCGAGCGGAGAAGTCCCGAATGATCCGAGACGTCGAGACAGAACGCAAGGCTGTAGCAGAGGTCATTGCGGGGAGAGAAACAGCTGGGGATTTAACCCAAATGCGTTTTCTCTTTGGCTGGAGGTTTCCTACTCTCTGCTGGGACGCAGCTGCTCCTGTAGCAGCGAGTGTTTATGAGGCCAAGCGTGGACAGTGTTACACTCTTACCAGAATGGGCCCCCGAACCCAAACGAAAAATAAAAAATTCTCCCCTCTCCCGCACGGCGCTCTCGCCAGAGCATGGGAAGGGGCCTTTGATTGATCTCGTGTGCATGTTTTTAACATTAAGCAACGGCTCCAAGTGCCTGATGAGCTTTGCACATGTGATTTTTCAGATATTATTCGGTCACTTACAGTAACGTAAGAGAGAGAGAGAGAGAGCGAGGAAACAAAATAAACAAGGGATGAAAATTTAAAATTTGTTAAATTTTAGTATAATTGCTGTCAGATGGGAGAATAAAACGACGAGGTAATATTTTGCTCGCTCTAGATTTCGTGTACAAATGTTTGCGCGTACGGTACATACATATACACACGTGCGGTTTATGTATAATTCACAAAATGGTACCTCATGCCCCTTGCGCATGTAATCTGAATTTAAATTGCTTCATTTAACGTTAATGAGGAGCACATGTCACGTTAGATTGTGAAAATAAAAATATTTTCACTCGCTATACGGACGTCACAGACGCGGGAAAGTATTCGGTCCCTTCCAATTACTCCCTGGGCCAGTGAAAGTTCACGGTCTCGCAAGTGGACGTCATCGGCGTGCCGCCGACACCGTTGCACACGTACATGTGCCCCTGCCTAATAAAGCAAAATCACCACCGGGGCAGTCGCAAATTAATTTCTACACACGTGTGTGTGTGTATGTGTTTTTGTGATTCCTTGAGGAGGCGATGAAGGGAGGCCAAACAAGTTGGTCGGAGATAGAAGAAAAATAAAAACCACCCGATTGCTTTGAAAGCCAGCTCAAACGGCTGCAGAGCTGACGGGCTTTTGAATGTTGATCATCGAGCTCAGGGTGGGGGGGGGATGACAAGTGCACCCAGGGCGATGTCCGAAATCCGGTACTTTCTGCCAATGATTAAGTCCGTGGCAAACAGGAAAATGCGCGCGAGGGCTGGAAGCAAATAGAAAGGGAGTTTGTCGTCCAAGCAGTCGTAGTAATAATAACAACAACAACGACAACGACGACTACGACGATAGGGCCGCACGTTCAGCTCCTGTGCCGAGGGCATTCGTCTCCACAAAGGTGGCGGCAGCTGCCGTTGCCCTCCCGCCGTGGTCTGTGAGCGGACCTTTGGGTTGGCGGTGTTTCGGCAGCGGTAGCTCGCCTCAAAAGCGGATCGCCGCCCAGGTGTCATCTCGCTCTCGTTAATGATCCCCGCAAGTGCTCTAATTGGAGGTGATCATACAATGCCTCTGCTGGGTCTCATTTTGTCCTCGTTAAGTAGGCAATACATCAATTACAGCAAATTAGAGTGAAGCTCTTCCAGGTGTCATCTCTTTCTCATTAAAGGGCCTGCATCTGAATAATTTGAGCGCGGTCTGAATAATATGCCGATCTTCGCTGCGCAAAGCACGTGAATTTTTTTTCTCTCTTTATCGAGAGCTGGGAGCGAGTATTGAAACCGGTTGGAAAAAAAAACGTGTTTTAAATCAGAATATACCATAAATTATTTTTTAAAAAGGACACAGGCATCTTAGTATATCATCATCAACATCAGTTGTGATCAAACCATTGCTTCAATGCCTCTCAATTGCCATGCTCGTTATATTAAATTGTCAACGTGGTGACGTAAATGTATTCAATTTGATCCTCCAGGCATTTGAATGTTGCACATCGTTAACATAAAGTCAGCTACTTGCTGCCCTTGATTTTTCCCATTGCGTATGTAAATGTGTCACGTAAATAATAATAATTATAATGAAAGGCAACGTTCTCCCGTGCTCACTTGTGTGCAGGGCTATGCACGTCTCCACTGGTGACCCCATGAACCAGTGGAACCAATGTCTCATATTGCTAAGCATTTTATTGACCCCCCCCCCCAGACAGTTGATGGATTGAGTTGATACCCAACCAGCTTTGAATTTATAGCAACAACAATAAATTGTGTTCATTTCATCAGGAAGTGAGGTATCGTCATCATTTTGTACATAGCACCAAACGTGTCTGTCATTATGTCTGTTCCCAGCGTTCTGATTGGCAGGGAAGGGTGGTGGGGGGCTGCAGTGAGGGGGGTGGGTGGGGAGGACACACACGAGGGGGGAGCACCCAGAGGTGGGGGGGGGGGGGGCGTATATTTATATATTTATACAACCACAACAAACGACGGTGCGATTCAAAAGTCAACGTGATTCCTTGCTCACATGAGCATTGGGGTGATGCTCATCTTCGAGCCATCGGAGTAAAATCCACTGGACAACCACTGTTGACTTCCCCCACGAAGTGGTACTTAGTTTATCGACCCCAGAGGCATGATGGGCTTAGTCAACTCCCAAGCGGGTATTAAGGTCCGTGGACCTTCCACCCGCTCGCCGCTCGCTCCACGGCTGGAGCCACGCGGCCGGCGGGGATCTTACGCGGAGCGGCGGTGTCACGCGAGGCCTCACCGGTGATGTTGCCACTGTCGTTGTTTGGCTTGTCCCAGTCGAGGACGATGAAGGAGTGGCAGCCCTCGATGGCGACCACTGTCACGTTGAGCGAGTCGTTGAAGGAGTGACCCGTGCCCGACCAGCTCTCTCCCTCCCCACGCAGGCGCTCGATCGTCTCCGTGATGGAGCACGGCACGCTCGGCTCCTTGTTGATGAACTTGACGTGTGGCGCTGTTCAACGCGGACAAATTCGATATTAGGAAGCCACTGGGAGCTATGCATCGTCTAGGTTGAAAACTCATCTCTTTGGAACTGTGTTTTGTTTTGCATTTAGTTTGTTCTTGCCCCCCTCATCGCACCTCGGATTAGCACGGTTGCCTACGTACGATGCGAAAGAAGTTCAAGATACATACGAACATAAGGACAAAGATCCGCTGTATAGCCTCGACAAACACAAGTCAGTTAAAGCTAATCCAAGGGGCCAGAACAGAAATTGGTACCAGCAAGTCATGAGTACAAATCTTTAGTATTAACCATGTCCAGTATTTATATGGCTAATTAGGATGAATTGATATCCCACTCATTTAAAATGGTTACCGGACAATTCACAAATTCACGTAGTTATACCACTGCAGGTGGTACAGGTACAATATCTTGTCCGGGTTCAGGAGCTTCTCCGGCAGCCGAGGTTGCGTGAATCACTCATTGGTCCGCAATACTGAACTGTTACAAAAGATGCCCCCGAATAGCCTTTAACAGACTGTAGGGGCAAGTGATGTTAGCGAGCAGCATCTGTGAAGGCCGGAACGGCACACGGAGCAGTACGTGGCCAACACCACGCCCAGTCGCCTTTGTCTCCCTCGTGGCAATAATTACAAACTGCACCAGGTACTCAACTGGTGTTGGCCATGAGCGGGTGATGAACTTGGGTTGCCGGGTTTTTAGCGCAGCACGCTAACCGCTACGCTACCTCTCCACACACGCGCATACAAATCACACAAATCACACAGCATGCAGCTTCATTTGTGAATAGCTCGTGCTAAGCTTCCCCGATATCTGTCTTGAGTCTAAGATGCAGGAAACAAGGTGACGACACCAATGGGGCACCACCTTATAATTCATAGTAATTGTAATGCTAATGTGATAATTAACAGCCCCTTGTCAATCCACTGCAGGATGCAAGTCTTCCCATCATTTGCTGCTCATGGGGGATGATGTGGGCTGGTGAATGATATGGGGATGCGGGCCAGGTCTGGTTTCAGATATCCCTCGCCAACCGTGGCCGAGAATCGATCCCGGGTCGTGGGGTTGTTCGGAGCGCAGCGTGACAACCACTGCGCGTCCGCTTCACATCAATGACAATGGTGCATTCAACAGTCCACGGAAAGCGACCATTTACGATTGCACGAGTTGTTTGCATGCAGAAGGAAATCTCGAGGACCCGGGTTATTTGGTGATGCTGGGTTGGCACAGATCACCCAAAGGAACGCCAACACATTCGTCAATATGGCTGTGCAATTGGCAAATGTACATTTTTATTATTTTATTATCATAAGTGCCTTACAAAAACCCACCATGCACACGAGTGGGTCACGCTCAGAGCATCTTGTCGCCGGCTCAGAGTCATCCTAGGCTTGTACTCCCACGCGGTCACCCATTCAAGTACTAATCAGTCTCATCCTCGCTTAGCTTCGAACATCGGCGGAGATCAACTTTCTGCGGTATCTGGCACACGGCAGGAAGCCACCCGCGGAGTGTCTCGGCGGCATTGTCCACGCGACCAGAAGAAGCTGAGTTGCACCCCGACCCATCCAGAGGGGAGTCAGTGGACACATTCATTTGGGGGGCCCGTTCCCCACAGGGCTATCATATAGAATGGCCTGTCGCCTCGGTAACTCTCCATGCTTTCCCGTGTGCATGTGTGTGTGTAGAGGGTGTCACTTGGTGTCTGATTGGATGTCAGGAGGCGCGTGGAGTGAAATGGAGTGGTGTCTCACCGGTGAAGCGCTTCTTGCCGGCGATGTCAAACTCGGTGAAGGGAGTGGAGCTCAGCGTGCCGAGCTCCCAGGGTGATGAGGACGTCAGGTTGGCTGGACAAACGGCACAGAGACACTTTGCTGCGTGTTCGCATCATCTCGCTCTCCCGTCCGCGCTCTCTCGCCAATATGTTCACATCATCACGCTCTCCCGTCCTCTCTCTTTCGCCGTTGGCACTATAAGCTCCGATTTATTTAAAGGCACTTTCCACAAACTCAAGTGAATGTTAACGATGCCAGTTATTTATTCACCCATGAAATCAAAGGATTTTTATATTCACCCGATTGGACATCTCTGAAAAAGAGCTTTGTAGCTCATCGGATTCCTTCAGTATAATTAAAGATTTCGATTCTGGATTCGGAGCCCGTTACCAAACAAGAACAACTGACGAGAGGGAGGACTGGAATACATTTGGGAGGCCTTTGCCAGGCATCAGGAAGATATAACCTCATCACAACAACAACAACATTTGTTCACCCAGAAAAGCCGCTATGAGTATCAACATTCAGCACGAGCACTGCCATCTCCTAGCCTCATCGCAGCCTCACACCGACAGTCGCCTGTGCGAGTACCAACCAGGCTCCACCCCTGCTTAGCTTCTCAGGTCATATGAGGCTGTGTGCATTCGGGGTGATTTAGAGTTAATTGGTCGTCGCTTATACAATAAATATTTTAATTCACGGTCCTCAGCCAGTTGTGGGAATTCCACATTCCTATGACAGGAATCATTGCCTTCGTACGTTTTACCAACCTTTGAGATATCAGACATGTTGTTGACCCTTGGCTAGGATTCGAGTCAAGGCACCTTGACCAACCCGCATTGACCAGCGTGGCGAAGTATGGTCAAATAACTCCCGTGATGCAACGCAGCGTTTGGAAGGGCCACTCATCCAGCATTGGATGGCCAATGTTGCTGTGCCTGTACATCTACCCTGTCACTGTGCCATCTGACCAGTAATTTCACAGTGAAAACACAAAGCCACTTTAACAAATTTAGAAGCTTTCTTAATCGTGACCCGCAAAAGTGCCCCTCGCCACGTTTGCTCGTAGCGACATACAAGGCAATGCGTGCAGCGTGGAGAGCTGCAAATGAAACAAGCATCACTACGATCAACTGAGCACGCCCGTACAATGCGTTCTCACAGTGTAATGCGATTCTTTTAAAAAACGATGAACATTTACTAACTCATCGTGCCGTGCGGCCGAACCGCGCTCGTGAGTGGCGCTCAATATCCTGGGCACTACATTGCATTTAAATCGTTCCCGTCCGCCCTGGTCACTAGACTCGGTGGCCTAAACCCCTTATCATAAAAATGTGCCTGGCATTTTTTTTTTGCAACTCTTTCGCGGCTGAAAATGCAGCTTGGTTGTAAATTAGGAGGGCTGCAGTTTGACCTAATTTTTCATGATTTTATTTTTATTGCTGGAAGCACGCGGTGCGATGTTATCGGGCTCCACCGCGTTTGTTGCTGCGAAAAGTCCTCACACGGCACAGAAGCATTCCCCCCAAATTTGTGGCAGCGATGCCTCTCCGTTATCTCTAAGAGTTTTGCCGAAAAAACCCAGGGCAAAATAATAACAGGCCACGATACCAGATGGGGGGTTTCTTGAAAAGCTAGGCTAAGGCACGTTTGGAAGGGGAATTTAAGTCTCGCTTATACATGTCCGTTGAATCTACAGAACATCTGCGCGAGTAATTCCGTGAATATCCAGGAGAGTCTCCACTCTTGTGTCGTGGGGATTTTTTATTTGTTTGCATTGCGGGAGGAGAGTCCTGCTTGGGTTGTTTTGATTGATTTCCTGACTGATGGAGCGTCGACGCGAAATGTGGGAAACAAAGGTGGAGAGAGACACCCCCCCACCCACCCCTCCTTCTCACACGAGGTGGGCCAGGTGGCTCAGAGGTCAGAGCGCTAAGGCAGCACTGCTCAGATCCTGAGGTTTTAAAATCCAAGGCTTTTGCCACGCCAAATAAAGAAATCGACTTCGCAAGCGAGGCAGGTTGTACTCACACACACACACAACATACCCACTCTTAATAAGTGGTTTCCAGCTCTGTGAGAATTAAAAATATTGGTTTGGCTATCTCAGGGATGAAGAGCCATTCTTGTAGCAGTGTCTGGGAAATTGTGCTCCCAATTGATGAATGCTAAAACAAGAAATAAGGGCCACTCGAAGGGTGTTTCCACACCGCTGCTCTGGGAAATTTCGGAATCGATTCTTCGTGTGATGGCGTGATGGCGTTAGCTAACCAAAAATCAAATGAGGTGGGGAGAAGGGGAGATCGGAATCTAAAATCTTTATTTATCCTGGAGGAGTCTGATGAGTTATGAAGCTCTTTTTCACAGATGTCTATTCGGGGCAGGTCAGGAAAGTTACGTCAAAAAGTAAACAATACAAAAAAGAAGGATATGAAAGTAATGTGGAGAAAAGTTGAACCAAGTCACCACAAAATGAATAAATATATGAATACATGTGAAGCACTGAAGTACAAATTGCACTCGTACATACATTCCTGCAAATTTTACAAGATAGAATGCAAGTTTGGGCAAGGCAGCAAAACAACAACAACAAAGACAACATCAAGACAACACAGCCCCTTGATTACATTCCACTTTAAAATGTAACTCTCAATAGCATGGTAAGGTTAATAGCTGCAAACCACAGTGGCAAATGTGGCTGGATCTAGCACTAATTTTCTGTTGAAGGATATTTTTGAAGGGATATTTACTTACTAGATGGTGTGGATCCAAACATAAAAAGACGAAATTAATATCAACCCCCTCCCTCCCCCCACAGGGCAGGAGCGAACACTGACGCAAGATGCGTTATGAATCCTACTTTCTGTACTGCCTGCGAGACGCGTGGTGTTTCTGCGTGGTGTCTACGTGAGCCATCAACCCTCTCTTTCAAGTCGACGGTTTGTAGCCTTTGCAACCACCACGCCTCGACGTTTTTGATGTGCGTCAACAAAAAGAAAATAACACATCAAGGCCGCCTGGAAGGGATTTAATTGAGAGCGGTCAATGGAAGCCGAGCACCTGGTTGCATTGTGGTAGCGCAGCTTTGCAAATGGAATGACTCCTTGCGTGCTTGAGTCTGCCGCGTGCATGTTTAGGCGTTGCCGTATTCTCTGCATTATAAGACCCTCTTCCCACCTTCCCACCCCTGTGATGTTTAAGCAGAAGTTTCACGGTGTGTCTCATAATCCGGTGTGTGTGTGTGTGTTGGTATGTGTGTTGTGGGTAGCGGTTTACGTAGCGGTTACGCGTGCTGTGCTACGAACCTGGCGACCCGGGTTCGATTCCCGTTCACAGCCGACACCAATGACGATGATCTGAACTGGTCCCGGGCCTCCCTGAGATCGACTCAAATTGAGTACCTGGCGCGGTGTGCAAACATCGCTACGAGGGAGAAAAGGTGGCCGGGCGTGGTGCTGGCCACCCACCCCCTCGTGCGTCGTGTATATTAGCATGTGCGTGAGAGTGACCAGATTTTGGCACAATATAGAACACAGGTGGTGCATCTGCCAGTCATCTCAGTCAGTCAACACTTCACGTGGCCTCGAGGTGCACCTAGCCTGGCACAAGCGCCGTGGTGACGTCACTGCCACTGAGTGGCGAATGGCGACTGTTGTTGACAAGATTTATTTAACTACATGGAACACAAATTTGGAGCGCATCTTACTTTCTGGGGCGTATGGATACTTGGTGAACTAGCGAATTGTACGTCTGTGCGCGTGTTTACAGAGCCTTGATGAGTTTTGTAGATGCAGTGTAGCGCATCACGACGTAGACTTTTAACAAAGGAATGTCTCTCTATTTTCCAATCCGCACCACTGATGAAACAGTAAAAAAAAATCTACACAATTGAAAGCTACAAACATAAAACAATAAATCTTACTAGAATATTATTATATTCTTTTCCAGGTTCCTTGACCGTAGATGAAATATGCCAGGCCGCTTTTGGCAAGAAGTACTTTTAAGTGTTTCTGTTCAATATTCATCATGGGAAACAATTCACATTCTATCGTGTGCAGCAAATATACGTTTTGTGTGTGTGTTACTGATGGGCTCCAGCTGATATTTTCAAACGCCGAGTTTTCCATACAGACTTGGAATGTGTTCACGTGTTACAGTAGAAAACGATGTTTTGACATAAATCACTAGATGACACACACTCACACGCAGACAAAATGCCATATACAGTCTTTTTTCAGGGGGGAGGGGGATGGAACTTTAAAAGTAATAATTATAACTGGAATAAGAAATATAGGTCAGCTGAAAATGGAAATTTGTATATATATAAAACCCAGAATCACATGATGCTCTTTCGAGACAGATAAACAACCTTGTAGAGTTAGTAGACTGCATGAAACACTTTTACCATATGTTACCGAAGGTTCATATTTAGTATTTGTGCTGGGACAGTTGGGAATCAGCAATCAGTCGCATTCCCCCGTCCTAATGGCACCCATAAGCCCCGCAGACTCGTGTAAGACAGAATCACAAGAAAGCATAGAAGCTCTCTGTAGATGTGACCTCGGCCTGAGCTTGTCATGGCTCCCGTGATGGGTTTGGTTTTCCACTAACGTGTTGACATTTTGAAGAAACGTGTTGGTTTTTTTGTTGTTCTGGAAAAAAACAAATATTTGTGTTTTGGTAGAGACTCGCGCGGTCAAAAAAAATACATTTTTTTGTCGCTCCTTAAACACGCTCCTCCAAGCGGTGTAACGGTTCGTGCACTGGACCTGGAATCCAGATGTCGCTGGTTCGGTTCAGTCTCCAGGCGTGGCAGTTGAAGCAATGGAGCAAGTTTCTTAAATAACATCTCTCCTCCACGCTCCCCACTCCCCCTCTTTGCCTGCCCAGCAGAATAAACAGGTACAGCCGCAGGTAGTCCATCGGCAGGTCCTGTGTGGTGGGGTACGATGTGGCGACTCCCACCTCTTCCAAGACATTTGTCCAGCATGAAAGAGGAGGCCAAATGTATGTTGAACTTCTTCTGCACCGTACGTATCCAACCGTGTTAAATGCCCTCTATAGGGGGGGCT